CAAAACCCCCCCCCAAAACCACAACCCACTTGCTCATCAGCATAATCGCCGGTGTAATCGTCGCGCGAAAGCGCCACACCTCTCCTCAAAATAGAAAAGTGCCAACGGCTCAGAGATCATGGATGCCAAAAATGGCACTTTACACTTGGCAAATGTCGCTGCCATTTTGGGCGGCCACTTTCGTCCGCTGCGTTACGCCGTTTCCGTTTCCGTTCCGCTTCATTTCCGTTTCGCCTGCCTCGTTTCATCTGTGTTTGCTATGTCGCACATGCACACCTATGAGGCATATACCTTTTTTAATTGTTTGCTTAAATATGCAATTGAATTAACATGTTCAAATATTTATTTTAATTATAATTTGCCTTTAACTGTTTTAAAAGAAATCAAGGAGAATCATGTTTTGTATTGGGGTGACCTGAATATTTACCACACTCATTAACAATGTTTTTTTTTGCGAAAAATAGAAAAAATTAAAAATTTTCAGGTTTGAATGCCAATGGATTGGAAATTAAGCAACGAGCTCAACGAGATATGACATTCCTCGATCTGACGTTTATTTTTTTTCTAGCAGCCAAAAAACTGAACTTTTATGGCGAAAAAATGGGATTCCGATTAGTCAAAAATACAAGATTTAGATTTTAGTCAAAAATGCGATTTTTCCTTCCAGTTTTTCAATCGTAGTTTAGTCAAATGAAGGCGTACAGCTAAAAGACCGACTGTTTTGAACAGCTTGCTAAATTTGCTAACGATCCCAATCAATTTAAGGAAAATTTATTTTTTGACCAGTTTTCGCATTTTTTGTAAGAGGGTGCATCGTCTTTTTTTGCAAAAAATGTGAAAAGTTAAAAATTTCCAGGTTTGAACGCCAATGGATTGGAAATTAAGCAACGAGCTCAACGAGATATGGCATTCCTCGATCTGACGTATACTTTTTTTATAGCAGCCAAAAAACTGGATTTTAGGGCGAAAAATTGACTCAGGATTTTTGTCAAAAATACGAGATTCAGATTTTAGTCAAAAATGCGATTTTTCTTTCCAGTTTTTCAATCGTAGTTTAGTCAAATCAGGGCGTACGGCTAAAAGACCTACTGTTTTGAGAAGCTTGCTTAAAATGCTAACGATCCTCATCATTTTTAGGAAAATTTATTTTTTGAACAATTTTTTCATTTTTTGCAGGGGTTGTATCACTTTTTTTCGAAAAATGGCAAAAAATGAAAAATTTTCAGGTTAGAATGCCAATCGATTGGAAATTAAGCAACGAGCTCAGCGAGGTATGACATTCCTCATTCTGAATTATACTTTTGTTTTGGCAGCCAAAGAACTGCATTTTTATGTCGAAAAAAGGGTTCACATTTTTTCAAAAATACAAAATTCAGATTTTCGCCAAAAATGCGAAATTTTTTTTTCGCTTTTTCCATCGTAGCTTTGCCAAATTAAGGCGTACAGCTAAAAGACCGACTGTGTTAAACAGCTTGCTAAATTTGCTAACGGTCTCAATCATTTTAAGGAAAATTTATTTTTTGACCAATTTTCGCATTTTTTGTAAAAAATGTGAAAAGTTAAAAATTTCCAGGTTTGAACGCCAATGGATTGGAAATTAAGCAACGAGCTCAACGAGATATGACATTCCTCGATCTGACGTATACTTTTTTTACAGCAGCCAAAAAACTGGGTTTTAGGGCTAAAAATGGACTCACGATTTTTGTCAAAAATACGAGATTCAGATTTTAGTCAAAAATGCGATTTTTCTTTCCAGTTTTTCAATCGTAGTTTGGTCAAATCAGGCGTACAGCTAAAGGACCGACTGTTTTGAACAGCTTGCTAAATTTGCTAACGGTCTCAATCAATTTAAGGAAAATTTATTTTTTTTACCAATTTTCGATTTTTTGGAAACGGGGTGCATCGTCTTTTTTTGCGAAAAATGTGAAAACTTAAAAATTTCCAGGTTTGAACGCCAATGGATTGGAAATTAAGCAACGAGCTCAACGAGGTATGACATTCCTCGATCTGACGTATATTTTTTTATAGCAGCCAAAAAACTGCATTTATACGGCGAAAAAATGGGATTAAGATTTCAGACAAAAATACAAGTTGTTGACTTGCTTTATTAATATGTTTAATATGATTTATTACTGGCTATGTTTTAAATTTGCACCTATTACTTGTGCAATTTCTGCTCTACTCTTTTTCTGTCTGGCACTGGGGCGTTAAGTTTCTTTACATGGGATTTGTGCCTGCGTAGCCATCTCACCTTTTTCCACCTGCCAGGTGTGTTTGCGAAATGCTGCCGAGCCGAGCTAATCTGCTGACAGGCAGTTACACAGTCGTGTCTGTTGCAGTTGCAGGTTGCAGGTTGCACATTGCACATGGTCTGGTTTCAGTTTTCAGTTTTCAGTTTGCAGCTTTCGGGGTTCGGGATTCGGGTTGCTGATTTCTGGAGGCTGGCAGCACATGGCAAGTGGCATTTGGGAGACGGTCAGGCGGCAGGATGTGTGCACTGGATATTTGCCAGGGGCGGGGAGTGGAGACCTGGAAACTTATCTGGCCAGCGGCACCCGGTCCTCGATTCGCTGACCAGGGGCAGTTATCGGCGGGCCAACAACACAACGATCCAATTTCCCGACCGCCGCCGAATTTTCCACCACGGCAAGGAGTACAGCATGTTACATAAACTGCTTACAGAACAACAAACAAGCTCCTGGGCATATAATATGGGCGTTTATCATTTAATTAATTGCCTTTCGTTGCCGTTTTCATTAAGTAATTTTCGCCCTTCGACGTTGTTTGCTTCTCCTCGCTTTTCACTACTTTCCTCATTCTTTTTGCTCCCCTTTCTTTGTTGCATTTCCCGGCGAGGGAAAAGCTGTGGGAAAATTCAGAGGGGCAGGAGCAACAGCTGTGGGCTGTATATGTATTCTTATTGTAGTTGCACTCAAAAAAAAAATACTATTCTTCGTATTTCGATACATTTTAAAGGCTTTCTATTAAAAATGCCAAATGAGTTGTTGAAAAAATATATTCAAAATAGTTTTTATTTAATTTAAGGGACATGTTTTTTATGTTTGACTTTGAAAATCAATGAAATGATTGGAATATAATATAAACTCTTAAGTTAATAGAATTCCAATTTATTGAGTGTTAAATAAATCTTTTCGATCTTTAATATCTTTATTTTATAATTTTTTGTTTAAGAATTAACCCAACTTTTGTATTGCTTACTTTATTATTTTTAAAACAATTATCTTATGATTTTTTTAGGAGTGTAGGATAAGGTGGTTCAAATTAATACCACTTATATTTTATTTATTCATTATGATTTTAATTTGCTTAAAAAATATTTTACGCAATTATCCGTATTTCTTAAATATATTTTTTAAGGAAAATCAAATATTTTTGAGGTATAGATATCTTAACAAGATAGTGATAGCTTTTTCCTGCGTGTTCAAATATGTATACATATGTTGGTCCTGTAGAGTTTGCTTATATAAATACACATGTGTGTGTGCCAGTTGCGTGTGTGTAGAGGGAGCCGGCTTTCGATCGGCTCCAAATTGCCACTCGTTGTAAAGTGGCAATTAACGCCACATGACGCTGTCAACAAATGGCCCTGGCTAGGCATTACACACTCTCCCATCGAAACACCCAAACACCCACTGCCAAACACCCAAACACCCAAACACACACTCACTGATATGTGGGGCACTTACAACACTTGTTAAGTGCATTTTTCAATGCCCCCTGGGGTTTTCGGCGTTCTGGAAAGAGCTCAAAGGGTTTTTTCCCGGCGGACTGGGGGCACCCCGATTGTGCTAATTTTTAAATTATTACTTGAGACACGACAGCAACACGAATGCATTTCCCGGAAAAATGGTTTAGGAGAATAGGTGTGCCCCAGCCAAAGTTTAGAAGGGGTTTGAAATCCGATAACAAAGCCATTTTCCAGCCATTCTACGGCCACGCCCACCTGTCATTCGAAGTCATTTGGGGGCTGGGATTTGGTGAAAATGGGGGCTCTTCGTTATTTTGGACATGAGCCTGTCACGGCTGTCATGTCCCCTAGCAGCTCGTTATTGCTATTATTATGTTACTCGAAAACAATGGCTGGCTTGGTTAATTGTAGGGCAGTCAGTCGAAGGACTTCTATGTGGATCCAGTCGAAAGATAGGAAAGGATCCTACCTTTACCAATAATTGGCCAGTTTGTACACCTATTTCAGAGGATATAATCATGTTAAACAGAAATTTACAACCCTATAAAGAGTTTTTATTCGGAATTTTAACAGAAGGAACTTAAATATTTAAGTTATACATAGCGTTTCTTTCAACTTTAGAATACAAATATTTTTAAAATAAATTAATACCTTAGGTTTTCAAAAATAAATAGGTTATCAATGCACTGCATCTATGATTCCAATTTGAATATGATGACATATATAATATTATTTTATGAAAAACCCTTAGATTTCTATGAAATCAAGATATTATTCTTAACACCGTTTTAAAATGACTATATGATTTTTATAAGCCCACAAATTTATCATAAACCTTGTCAACTGCTAGGGTATATGTTATTTAATTTATTTTAACAAATGATGTTTCTTAGTTTTTCTATTTCAAAGCGAATATAAATTTCTTTTCTTCTAAAATTCAAATAATACATTTGAAAAACCCTCCGAATTTCAGTTAAGTGCCTTGCTTAGACACAAATATATTATATATATTGCATCGTATACTCGAATACTTTCTTGTGACTACAATTACCATTGACCATTATAAATTCGGAATATAATAAATCAGATAATAAAACTTTGAAAAGGCCAAAATACATTTCATTTAAGTGATTTATAGGGTCGGAAATGTATTATTTTCAGGTATAATATGATTTATAAGAAGGAAAGGGTATTATTTTCTGATATATAGACCTCTGCAAGGGTTGGTTTTCCCCTGTCAGTTTCCCATACTTAAAAACCCAACTTAATGTGGTTCCCCCATCATTTGCAGGCTGTGCGGACGGCGCCTCGAAGCGCTTCTTCACCGACTTCCTGCAGGACCTGCCCACTCCAGGGACCGGAGGACCCACCTTCGACACGACCATCGGAACCAACATCACAGGACTCGTCGGCAAGACGGTGAAGCTGACCTGCCGCGTCAAGAATCTGGGCAATCGCACGGTGAGTACGCACTGAAATGGCTCGCGGGATGCGGATGCAAGTGGAGGCTGTGCATAATAATTTTTAAGTACTTGACCAAAAAGAAATGAGTATGAAAAACAGGGGGCAGCCAGCAAAAAGTAAAAGTTTCGCAGCGCAAACTTGTCAAAAGGCGTTACGCTTGACAGGGCGGCGAGTGCAGCTGCAGCATGCCACGCCCCCTGCCGCCCCACCGCCCCCGCCGCCCCTTTAAGGAGGCGTGGCTGAAGGCAGCTGTCGCCTGTCGTTTTCGGTTTGGATTTTTGCCTCGGCCAAGGGGTTTTCGGGGGGTTGTCCTGAGTGAAAAGTTGTAAGCCAGCCCCGCTTTTCATTATGAAAATGCAGCTGGAAAATGCAGTTGCATTTGGCCGTTGCGCTGCTGTTGCAGCTGTTAAACAATTAGCAAATTAAACTTTCAACTTTGAACTTTCAACTCTGGCAGCCGGCGAGCAAAATCCGAGAACAATGCCAAAACAAAGCCGTTGCAAATGTTTCACTCCGCTCAGTTTCAGTTTCAGTTTCAGTTTCAGTTTGGTTGGTTACCAGTAGTTGCAGTTCATTTCTAGTTTAGTTCGGTCCGCACCACGCTGCGTATGAGTGACGTGAGTCGTGAATCGTGAGTCCTGAATCCGTGAATAGTGAATCGTGAATACAGCGAATCGTGGACGACGAACATAGCGTCGCCTTTTAGCAAGTTTCCTCAAGTGTCGCGAGCGGCCATAAAACTTTTCAAATTTTTACGCTTTGCTGGCTTATTAGGTGAGTGGCGCTGGAGTCCTGCAAGTCCTAGTTTTGGGGCACCGAGTTCGAGTCCTCCCCTAAAAGCCCGAAAAAAAAAACTTCCCGTTTTAATTTCAGTTTGACAAAGTGAATGAATGCCTCGCAGATGCCCGGATAAGGGAGTACTGTTCGAGAAAAGTCGCCCTGAGTGGGGTTTTTCGCTATGGACGCGTCCACCTAATTACCAGTGCCACGCAAACAAGCCGCAATTAGGTACACTGCCTTCTCGGTATCAATTATTCCTCAGCCATTTCCGCTGCTTAATTGTTATTTGTCGACCAGAACTATCCGATTACCAACTACCCATGGCAAAATTATATATATATAGTGGTTGTATATTAAAAGTCATACGGCTGCTGTCAGATCTTGTTTCTGATTTTCCTCCATTTGTGATGGTGAAAAGTTTTCAACTGAAAGCAAACTAAAAAGCCTTGAAGATTGCTGGCTGAGAGCCTTGAAAATTATTTGATTAAAACTTGATGGTTGGCTTTAAGTTTGGAAATTTTCAAGACATTAATTTGGGTTTCCCATATAACACCTTACTCTTCTGTATATAATTTCATAACAATATAAGTTGAGCTAAAGATCTCTTCTCCTCTAAGTTTCTACCACTTTCCTTTAATAGCTCAACTTAAGATAGTTCAATTGACTTAAAAAAATTGCCGAAATTCATCAGCTTACTAAACTTATAGCTTTCCATATTTGTTTCTTGTTCCACCCCCACCAATTAGTTAAATTCCTTTCATCAGATGGTTAAACTCCTCGAACCGATTACTCCTGCATTAGATCCAATTAGCTCACCCATTACTTGGCTTTATTTACTCCCACAACTACTTGGTAACTGCTACCTGACTGGCATAAATCCAGAATTCATCCGAGACTTGTTGTTTTCCGTAGCGAAATATTCATATATGTAGCATATTACCGGGCGAATTCCCAACGTGATATATGCATTTGCCGCATGGTCCATTTTCGATTTACCGAGTGCGAAGTGCGTTGGTCATCGAAGCTGATGAGCTGGCTAAATACTGTGTAATTAATCACAGGCCGAGCAGCTGGTCATTTATAACGCCGGGCAGCTCCATTCCTTAGATATCAGATGATTTCCTCCCAGACGCCTAATTACTCAGAGGATGTTAGTCCATGAATTATATCGGCCGCCAAGTGAATGAGTTCCATTTTCAGGGTCTGGGAGTCGGTTCCTTATTGCATCTTGCACATGTCCCTTAATGGCAGCCATTTTCCATTCGATTTAACAATTTTCAAGCGACTTTTTATGCAAAACACTGAGTGGCGCCATAAAGTATGCTCCCAATTCAATTTCAAGTCTGAGAAGGCAAAAAATCGTATGGCTTCAAGATTATTTATTCAATTGCTCGACAAATATTTAAATCTAATTGTAGTTATAAATAGAGTTTAACTCACCAGAGTTTTGAAATCACTTTAAAATGTAAGTTTAGCTGTCTAAAAGTATGCAACAATAGTTTTCTAGCTCTTAAAGTCGCCTAACCAGTATTCGCTGCATACTTTTAGGCACATAACGTTGATTTCTGTGCTAATAAAATTATTTCTAAGATTTTTCAAAAATAATTTCAAGATATAACTCGAGCTAATTAACAACTTGAGCTAAATCCTTATAAATAAGACAGTGCCATTGAAAATTTTCCACATTTCCAACAAATCCTTTGTGCCAGGCCAATTCCTAGGAGATTCGGAATGCGGAATGTCTGTGCGACATTAAAATTTCCCTTTGCAATTCATTAGCAAACGCGATTTGGTGGCGGCAGAGTGTTTATTAACAAAGCCCCCACTTAACTTTGCGTGGGTGGTTTTTGATGGGGGGGTTGCTTAGTGGGTTGCTTGGGTGATTTCTTAGTGGGTGGTGGTGGTGCTGACTGAAGGAACATGTCATTTGCGGTCTTCGAAAGGCGACGACCGCAAGTCAAGGCTCCTTCGACACCGCAGAATGCCAATGGCTGCGGATTGGGGGTGGATTTTCGGGGGATCCCAGATGGAGCGGGTGCCCCAAATTCTCAATGCATGTACTTCATTAGTGTGTAATTGTGTGGGTGTGTGTGTGTGTGTGCGCACTGTGCATGTGTGGGTGAATTTAATTGCCAATGCCCTGGGCAATGACCGCAGCCACAGTAGGAACAACGACAACGTGACCATGATGACTGAGGACTTGGACTCCAGGTACAGTGGTGAAGAGCCACAAGACTTTCGGGCACTCCAAAAATATTGATTTTGTCTTTGGATGGATTTTCAAGTGAAATCCGCATGGCAAGGGTGCTTTAAACGATTGTTTTCCCAGGAAAAGTACTTAACATACTTACTCAAGTGCAACCTTATGATATTAAATTGCCAGAGATATTTATTTGGGGCAAAATTAAACAAAGATTGTTAGGTTTGCCAAACTTAAATGTTATTTTAAGTGTCCAAAAGTATGCAAGAATATATTTTTAGCTCGAATAGGCGACTATCCATTATTCACAGCATACTTTTAGACACCTTGTCATTAAAATAGGTTATATATAATGTTGGTTATTATTAGATTTTTATAATTACTTAACAGAACATTTCTTTTTAATTTTTTTTTTTATTCTGTGATCTCTTACCAATGTATTTCCGGTTTTGTTACAGATTTATATTGGTTCAGTTACCTGAGAGATAAATTCTGCTCAAAGAAACCACTGTAAGGAGGGGTTCTTTTGGGGTGGCATGGTCAAAAACCGAGCCCCCCGTCGATTTCTGGGCAACTGCAATTGAAATTGTTGCGGTTGATTTTACAAGTAAATTGTCACTGGCAGTTGTAACCAAACCCATCTGCCTGAAGGACCCCCCCATCCCCTGAGTCCTGCCCTTTGGCCCCGAAACAATTGAAAATGCAATTTAGCGTGTGAGGTTTCGCTGCGTTTCGACTCCCTTTCGTCCTTTTTCCGTTCCGTTTCCGCTGTTCCGCTGGGGGTCCTGGCATCCTCCTTTTTTTTTTTGCCTTCAATATCCAATCTTTGGCCTTTTGTTTTGCGACTGGACACCGCAGTGGGTCCATCACCTGTGCCCCCCACTTTCGCCCCCCTTTCATCTCAGTTGGACGCCACTGCGATTTCGATGGGTATTCGTTTCGCTTTCATACGAAAAAATAAAGCTGAAAAAAATAAATTATTTGCCTGGGCAACTCGAGAGGCACAGGAAAAAATTGTGATCCCTTTATTGTTGATTCTGAAATTAATATTTTCTTGAGTGCAATTAAAAGTATTTAATCTTGGCTTTACAAATATATTTTTAAAATATTTTTCAGATTTTATAAAAACCTCAAAAGGTATTTTTTAAGTCTTTCAACACTAATATATCCTATTTTTTCTCACCAAAAGAAAGTTATACAAGTCAAAATCATGAGAACTATACAACATATTTGTTCATAAAAATTCTTAATAAATATTATATCGAGTAATCCTTTTTTCCAGTGCTTTTCCGGTGAAAAACTTTCTTTCTTTTTGGCACTTTTTCGCTTTGGCGAAAGTCAAAGCCTTTTCCTCCACGCACAGGAATAAAAATTGCGTTTCTACAGTTTGTTCCTTTTATTTTCGCCGCCTCTGTGTGCGAGTGCCACGCCCATTCGCTTTTTGCCCGCCCTGTTTGTATGTCTGTCTGTTTGTTTGTTAGTTTAACGGCACAGGACTAAAAGCAACTCCACGGGCAAAAGAATCCAGAATCGAGAGGAGAAATAAAAAACTTTCGGCTTTCCCTGACAAAAATAAAGGAAAAACTTTAAGAATGTCAACCACCCCCCTCCGGACAAAAATCTGAATCTCCTTCTCTTTGTGCCGAAAAGGGAATGCGTAGTGCATTCATTAAATTAGTTGTAATACCCAGTTGCGAAAAAAGTCGAGGGACTCATTAAAAAATCACTTTTTTCTAGGGTGGCGTAAGTTTGTGGGTGGAAATCTTTCTTTGTAGAGGGAAAAACGCTATAAACACATCGATTGACACGCCCACTTGGTTACGCCCATGGGACGCCGCCCCCTCAATCAGGAATCAAAATATATTTATATAACTGAAAGAAAATCACATTCTCGTGTGTTGTCATCGCTTTTCTTCTTTTCCCTCCTATTTGTTTTTTTTTTTTGGGAGGGGCGGTGAGGGTGGCAGTGGGCGTGGCACTCTGCTGGCTGAAAGCAAATCAATCAAAGAAATGTTTA